CCCAGTAGCAAATTGGACCCCTTCCGACCTGAGGGGCTCAACTTCTGGCGCCATATCTTTCAGCCTTTTGTTACTGTCCATGGGGTTTTCTTGGCAAAGATACAGGAGCGGTTTGCCATTTCCTTCTCTGGTGGATCATATTTTGTCTGAGTTCTCCGCTGTGGCCTGTCTGTCTTGGGTGGCCCTCCACAACATAGCTCAGGGTCTCATCGAACCACGCAAGCCTGCTCGCCATCTCGAGGCAGCGATCCATGAGAGAAAAGGGTAGACCTAGAAGAAGAAGTATTTATATGCCGCCCTTCACTACCCAAAGGAGTCTCAGAGTGGCTTACAAACTCCTTTCCCTTCCCCTCCCTACAACAGACACTCTGTGAGGTAAAACAAGAAGAAGAGGAGATTGGATTTATACCCCCGCCCTTCACTACCCAAAGGTGTCTCAGAGCAGCTTACAAACTCCTTTCCCTTCCCCTCCCCACAACAGACACCCTGGGAGGTAGGTGGGGCTGAGAGAGCTCTTTCAAGGACAGCTCTGAGAGAACTACGGCTTGCCCAAGTTCATCCAGCCAGGTGCAAGTGGAGGAGTGGGGAATCAAACCCAGTTCTCTGAGATTAGAGTCCGCGCACTTAACCACTACACCAAACTGGCTAGAAAAATGAAAACTGTTCTTTTTGGAGCAGTGTAAGGATTGGCTGTTGATAATCCTATAGATCTTACAGCCCTCATCAACTATTAGCTGAAAGTTCTTACAGACTGAGACCTGCCTGGTTTCTAGAGGAATTGGTTGACTGTTAACTGCATGCAGCTGGCAGCCTGAAAGAGGCTGGCTGGGGACACTTTCCTCACGCAAGGAGGCAGGGGGTTGTTGCCGTGATGGTACTGGATGAATGCTTCCAATGCAAAAGAAGAAGAAGAGGAGAAGAGATGGGATTTATACCCCGCCCTTCACTACCCAAAGGTGTCTCAGAACGGCCTACAAACTCCTTTCCCTTCCCCTCCCCCCAACAGACACCCTGTGAGGTAAAAGAAGAAGAAGAGATTGGATTTATACCCCGCCCTTCACTACCCAAAGGTGTCTCAGAGCGGCTTACAAACTCCTTTCCCTTCCCCTCCCCACAAGAGACACCCTGTGAGGTACGTGGGGCTGAGAGAGCTCTTGACAGGAACACCTCTTTTTCAAGGACAGCTACTAGGGAGCGGTGGCGCAGGCATTATAACGCCTGCTGTTAACATCTGGACGAGCAGCCGGAAGGCTGTTCGATTCCCCACCGCGGCCGGGCTGAGCCCCCGGCCCTCGTTCCAGCTCCCGCCAACCCAGCGGCTCTGTTAACATCAGAGGAATGGGTACCTGCCCTAGGTGGCAGGGGGCACCCTCCTCTCAGCCTTGTGCTGGGATGGTGATCGGCAGTGACGAAAAAGGATCGAATCGGCGGCAGCAGCGAGAAAGAAATGGCGGCAGCGGAGAAACGGTGAAGCGACTGGCTTGAGCAATGGTGGAGGCGGAGTCGAAGGCAGAGTTGGACGTAGAGTTGGAGCGACGTCAGAACGCGGAACGCAGCGTGGCAGGAGCCGCTTGGACGTTAGCCGAGGCTGCGCCCGAGGAAAGACACGCCGCTCCAAGAATAACAGCCAGCTCGTCCAGCCGACGGCAGCCGGGTCACAGAAACAACAACAGCAACAACAGCACACACCAAGGAAGCTGCCGAACGAACGGAAGACCGTGCCGTATCAAGGGTGCTGGTAGGTTGTCCCCCCCCCCCACCATTATTGGCCCCCAATGTGTGTAGCTACTATATAGTAGCACATTGTAAACCGCTCTGAGACCCGCTAGGGGTTATGAGCGGTATATAAATCACCTGTAAATAAATAAATTATCAGAACTATGGCTTGCCCAAGGTCATCCAGCAGGTGCAAGTGGAGGAGTGGGGAATCAAACCCGGTTCTCCCAGATTAGAGTCCGTACACTTAACCACTACACCAAACTGGCTCTCCTTTTTCCCTCAGCCTGGAACGACAAGTCACTTTTAAGGAAGGGTCCACAGTTTGTGAAACAACTGTTTGTATTATGTCCGTTTGTATTATTTGTCTGTGGCTTCCCTTTCAACTCTTGCTATTGTTTGTGTTTTAGAAAGGTTTCTGTTTTTGCAGACATCCTACGAAACCTGATGTCGTTTCGAATTCTTTTATTAAATGGGGTTGGGGTTTTTTTTATCGTGCCTTAAGTGACGTGTTGAGTGCTTGCATTCCTTCCCCGTGGATATGGACCCAATTCTGACAAGCAGAGTGCCTTGTCAGGCTAGAGAGAAGAAGAGGAGAAGAGATTGGATTTATACCCCGCCCTTCACTACCCAAAGGTGTCTCACAGCGGCTTAAAAACTCCTTTCCCTTCCCCTCCCCTCAACAGACACCCTGTGAGGTAGGTGCAGCTGAGAGAACTCTTGACAGAAACTGCTCTTTTTCAAGAACAGCTCTTATCAGAGCTATGACTTGCCCAAGGTCATCCAGCCAGGTGCAAGTGGAGGAGTGGGGAATCAAACCCGGTTCTCCCAGATTAGAGTCCGTGCACTTAACCACTACACTGTCAGATTCTACAGCCAACAACTGAGTACACACTTATCAGAAGGGTTATACTTTATTGCAGAGCTATAGATGCAGTAACAAAGTCATTGTTAAGAATGGTGTCGCCCCTACAAGCATAATGGGATATAGGGTATTCGTATGCACACACCCCTTCCTTAGGCCAATTAGCCACATTCCCACGCGTACACATTACATTACATTACACATTGGATTTCTATACCACCCCTTTCCGTAGACTCGGGGCGGTTTACATAGTTTGTACAGTTTTTCTAACCTAGGGGCACATAGACAAGGAAGGTGAATTCCTTACCCAGGCACCCCTGTAACAAAAGGCGTAGGAGAAGGAGCCCCAGGCCGTTAGAACCGAAGCTGAGAACCAAAAGCATCCCCACGGTTTTCTGAATCCCAGACACTACACACCACCTGCAAGGCCATAGATAAGCAAGTGTTACAGAAGCAAAGAAGGAATCCAGCGGTACTTGGTACACAGAGCAAGCAAGCATCCCACCCCCCAACCATTATGGCAGCATAGCTGACATACACCAAACTGGCTTGAGAGATGACAGTCGCTAAGCCTGCAAAGCCTTATGGGAGAGGAACCAAACAGAGAGGCCTCAGCCAATCCAGGCTGTTAATACAGAAATGCCCCCAGGCCCGCTGATTTTTCCTCCACAATGAGATGAGCAGCGTGGACAGCCCAGGTCCCTCATCCTTTCACAGGGGAGCAGTCGCTCCTGCATTTTCGACAAGGTGTACGGGCGAGAGATCCTCTGAACGCCGTTCCCTTGACCCACCCCAAGCCTTACATCCTGTACCTTCCCAGACTACTCCCTTCCAGTGTCTGCCTGGCGGGATCTCTGATGAGGGAATCTGCTTTTCCTTTCAGGGTCCCTTTTCCTTTGAGGAGGTGTCCATCGATTTCACCAAGGCAGAATGGGCCCTGCTGGATCCGGGCCAAAGAGCTCTCTACCGGGAAGTCATGCTGGAGAACTATGAGAATGTGGCCTTTCTGGGTAAGGATCTTTCCTTGGTGTCAGAGGTGCAAATTGCTGCCATTGTGGGGAGGCATGAATCAAAATATTGAATAGCTATTCATAGTTTGGAGGCCTGTCCCGCTACTGGGGGGGGGCACTGTGGCTCTCTGCCAGAGCATCTGCTTGGCATGCAGAAGGTCCCAGGTTCAATCCCCAGCATTTCCATTAAAAAGGATCAGGTAGGCGGGGATGTGAAAGACTTCTGCCTGAGACCCTGGAGAGCTGCTGCTGGACTGAGTAGGCAACACTGACTTCAAGGGAGCAAGTGTCTGATTTAGTATAAGGCCTGAGCTTCATGTGTTCATGTGTATGTGTGTGTCCAGGGGCAACTGACGGCTGTGTTGTGGCCATCATCACCCAAGCCAGAGAAGGTGCCCTGGCCTGAGGCAAAGGGGATGAAAGGCCCTCAGAAAGCTTCCAGAAAGGGCCAGATCCTCATTTCTCTGTTGCCGACCTTTACAACACACCCTTCTCCCTGAATGGGATTCCAGACATCCGCTCTGCCTGTGATCTGGAAACGATCCTGTCAAGAACCAAAGACTGGGCCTCCCTGGGTCACTGCTTGATGGGTTCTAACGACCCAATTAAGGGTCCTCCTTGACGGAATTTTCCCAGAGGCTGTCAGCACCCTCCTAATCCCCCCCTTCCTCCTGGCAACACACCTGGATACAGGTTCTCATGAGTAACCAATGGCCTTGAGAAATATAAGAATGTTAGCTGCAGGGAGACTCGAGTCACAAATGCCTGAAAGTCAGACCAGGCCACGTAATCCCTTGGGGGAATGAGGGTGCTTTGACTCACAGGTCCATTCCCCTTATACTGGTTGGGATTATGGGCTTTTATCTTGACCGTAGTTTCATCCTTCCAGAAGAATTTTTACTCTTGAATGTCTTTCCTTCCCCATATAAGAATGGTCACTTTCTCTCTCTGTCTCTCTGCGAACAAAGGCAGGAGTATAAGAGAGACTATGGTGGAGATCGACAACGGCCTCGCATCCAAAAAAAGGCTGGAGAGTTCCTCAAGAGGATCCCAAGAGCATATTTCCTTCCCAGATGAGCTGGATGAGAGTGAGTATCTTTCACAGTTATGTGAAGGGACTAGGCAAGGAAGTGCCATGGGGGATTTCTGATTCACTTCTGAGCAATGTTTTGTGGAATCATTCAGTCCACTGGGAAAGGAGGGAGGGCCTGAAATCTGGAGGCTTAGAAGGTCCTTGTGGGCAAGAACTCAGCTGTGGCACTTGAGGGGAAAGGTGGAGGGGTGGTTAAGATCAGCCAAGCTGGACAAGGCCAAAGGGTCATCTGTCCTTATCTACTGCAGTCACATAGATGCCTTTGGAGTGTACCAGCCCTCCCAAGGTGCTAACAGGATCTCTCTAATTGTTCCAGCAGAGGATAATCAGAGGAATGAGAAAGGTGAAGTATTTCATCAGCAAATGCCAGATAGAGTTAAAAATGAAGACCTGAAAGAAAACGTTATGAATCAAGGCACACCGAAGACAAAGAAAGTCGGCCAAGTGACTGAGATTCAAGATGGAAGAAAGTGTAATGTACATTTTCAAATGCACGAGATAACGAAGGCAAGTAAATCCATTCATTGTGGAAAGTCCTTCAGAAATAGATCACCGCTCTTTGTGCACCAAAGAATACATAGAGGTGAGCAAACTTTTGAATGCTCAGTGTGTGGAAAGAAATTCAGTAGGAGTGGCAATCTTCAACAGCACCAAAGAGCTCACACAGGGGAAAAACCTTTTGAATGCTCAGAGTGTGGAAAGAGATTCAGTCAAAGTGGCCATCTTCAACTGCACCAAAGAACCCACACAGGGGAGAAACCTTTTGAATGTTCAGTGTGTAGAAAAAGATTCAGTACGAGTGGCAGTCTTCAAATACACCTAAGAATCCACACAGGGGAAAAACCTTTTGAATGCTCAGTGTGTGGAAAGAGATTCGGTACAAGTAGCAATCTTCATCTGCATCAAAGAACCCACACAGGGGAGAAACCTTTTGAATGCTCAGAGTGTACTAAAAGATTCAGTACGAGTGGCAGTCTTCAAATACACCGAAGAACTCACACAGGGGAGAAAACTTTTCAATGCTCAGAGTGTGCAAAAAGATTCAGCACGAGTAGCAATCTTCATCTCCATCAAAGAATCCACACAGGGGAGAAACCTTTTCAGTGCTCAGAGTGTGGAAAGAGATTCAGTTACAGTAGCACTCTTCAGAAGCATCAAAGAACCCACACAGGGGAGAAACCTTTTGTATGCTCAGTGTGTGGAAACAGATTCAGTCAGACTGGCCTTCTTGAACGACATCAAAGAACCCACACAGGGGAGAAACCTTTTGAATGTTCAGAGTGTGGAAAGAGATTCAGTTTGAGTGGCAATCTTCAAAAGCATTTGAGAATCCACACGGGGGAGAAACCTTTTGAATGTTCAGAGTGTGGAAAGAAATTCAGTTTGAGTGGCAATCTTCAAAAGCATCTGAGAATCCACACGGGAGAGAAACCTTTTGAATGCTCAGAGTGTGGAAAAAAATTCAGGTGTAGTGACTCTCTTCTAGAGCATTTAAGAACCCACACAGGGGAGAAACCCTTTGAATGCTCAGAGTGTGGAAAGCGATTCAGTCGGAGTGGCCATCTTCTAGAACATCTAAGAACCCACACAGGGGAGAAACCTTTTGAATGCTCAGTGTGTGGAAAGAGATTCAGGCTGAGTGGCCATCTTCAGCAGCACCAAAGAACCCACACAGGAGAGAATCCTTTTGAATGCTCAGAGTGTGGAAAGAGCTTCAGGATGAGTGGCCAGCTTCTAAAGCATCTAAGAACCCACACTGGGGAAAAACCTTTTGAATGTTCAGAGTGTGGAAAGCGATTCAGTTGGAGTGGCGATCTTCAAAAGCATCTGAGCACTCACACAGGGGAGAAACCTTTTGAATGCTCAGAATGTGGGAAGAGATTCAAGTTGAGTGGCCATCTTCTAGAGCATCTAAGAACCCACACAGGGGAAAAACCTTTTGGTTGCTCAGAGTGTGGAAAGAGATTCAGTCAGAGTGGCAGTCTTCACAAGCATTTGAGAACCCACAGAGAGGAAAAACCTTTTGGATGTTCAATGTGTGGAAAGAGATTCGGCGAGAAGGGGAATCTTCACAAGCATCAGAGAACCCACACAGGGGAGAAACCTTTTGAATTCTCAGAGAATGGGAAGACATTCAGTAACACTCTTAGTCTTCAGCAGCACCAAAGAACTCACACAGAGGAAAACTTTTTGAATATTCATAGTGTGGAGAGAGATTCAGTTGGAGTGGCAGTCTTCAAAAGCATCTGACAAACCATGCCAGGGAGAAACCTTTTGAATGTTCAGTCTGTGGAAATAAATTCAGTGAGAGGTGGAATCTTCCCACGCATCAGAGAACCCACATGGGAGAAACTTTTTGAATGCTCTGAGTGTGGAGTTTCACTCAGCGTGGAAATTTTCTGCAGTGTGTAAGAACTCAGCTATATGCAATAAAAAGCAAGCTCTTTTAGTATCATTTTTCCACCAAGTGTACTATAATAGCATAATACACTGCTACCAAGTCAACTGGATATAGATGCATAGATGCATATGACATAGATGTCATAGATGCAACAAACATGAAATTGAGCAAACTTCAGAGGACGACGGAAGACAGGAGGGCCTGGCGTGATCTTGTCCATGGGGTCGTGAAGAGTCGGACTCGACTGTGTGACTGAACAACAAACCAAGTCACCTGGAAATGAATAAGTCCATAATACGCTGTTATTCAATGCTTTGCTGGTTTGAAGAACCTCCCAGTTGTGATTCTGCAGATGCCTGGCTATAAATTCATTTCAATAAATATTTCTGAAAAATCACTCTTGTTCAGGATTCCCTCTAAGCTGAGTTAGTGTGAGCTAGCTCAGATTTTTAGCCTCCAGTTCACACATTTTTGTCTTTGCTCAGGAAGGATAGCTCCAGAGCAAACTAATATATGCAGTTAGCCAAATCGCTCACTCACAACTTTAATGCCAGCAGCTCACAAAGTAGGATTTTTTTTCTCACAAGACTCCACAGCTTAGAGGGAGCATTGCTCTTGTTTACTCCCATTTGCAAAGTATCTCACTAAGCAGTACATGTTTTGTAGGGAACCGCACTCCAGGTCAAATCCTTCTGCAAAGTATCTCACTAAGCAAGTACATGTTTTGTAGCGAATGGCACTCCTGGTCTGCAATGAGGTGATTTATTTATATTTATTTATTTATATTTACATTTATATACCGCCCTACCCCGAAGGCTCAGGGCGGCTAACAGGGGCACAATGTGCCAGGTTAAAACAATAACATATAATTTAAAAACAATAAATTACAATAAAATATATAACAAAGGTGATGAAACGGAACACTATTCTCAACAATTTCATGCAGTCATCTTTTCTCCTTGCGGCAGGATTACTGTGTGAATTTTTTGACCATTCCTTTGTCTCTTAGACCCATTAGCCTTTGTATGAAGGTGGGTTGAAGTAAGCCTGTCTTCTGCCCAGAGGGGGAAAAAACTGATAAAATGCCAAGTTGAGGTTTGCTGTTTGTCAACCTCCCAGGCGACAATGCATTTCTTCACACACCCCAATATCATCCAGTATTGTGGAAATGGTATCTGTGGAGTTGGCAGGGGAACCTGGTGGGACACCGATTCCCCGATTTGAATTGTCCTACCCATCCACCCACATATTCTTTCATAGAGAATCAGATGTAAGATTCCCTCCTCCTGCTGTGACCCCACCCCCCAAGCTCCATGAGCCAGAAAAGATCTGGAGTCAGCTCTGGGCCCAGGCTTACTCCACACCTTTGACTCCTCAGAGGTCCCCTTGAATTCCTCCTTGGAGAGTGTGTCTTTCGGCAGCAGGCTGAGAAATTTCATCTCACTAATTTAGAGAGGTATCTGCATTAGGGTTGCTAACAGGCCTGAAGGGGGGGGGAGATCCTGCCTTTTCCCCAGAGGCTTCGTGTGTGGAAATGGGCACCTGAAGAGATAAATAACATCTCATAATGCCTCTGTTAAAGGGAGATACTTTTTTCCTCCAGGTAGTTGGCAACCCTAGATTAAATATTTCTTTGTGAATCAGAGAAAATGAAATTCAGCTAAGGAAGGGTTATAGCCAATGTTCACTCTAAGCTGTGGAGTCTTTTTTTTTTTTTAAACCTCCGGAGGGGATTTTTTTTATTTTTTTTATATCACTACAAAAACTACAACAGAAAAGGGGGAGGGAAAACTACATTTAAGGGATAAAGCAAAGAACCCACTACTAACTAAAATCCCAAGAGGGGAGAACCTCCCAACTAGCTTAATTACATTCAATCTTCCCATCATTTATAACATTATAAACTGAGTCAAGCATTTAAAGTTAATACTTTTCTTTTAAGCTTAAATTTAAACTGTCTACAAACAGTACCCCCGATCATCCCCGTTTCAAAGTTCACAAAGGCACAATTCAGAGTCCTTCAGCCTTTACTCCTCCCTTCCCTGTCTCCTCCGCAACCCACAAGGACTTGTGAGCAAAAATTCAACCGTGAGCTCCTGGCATTAAAGCTGTGAGCAAGCGATTTGGCTACTGCATGAATCAGTTTGCTCTGGAGCCCTCCTTCCTGAGCTGAGACAAAAATGTGTGAGCCGGAGGCTAAAAAACTGTGAGCTAGCTCACAGTAACTCAGCTTAGAGGGAACATTGGAACTTATAGCTCATTAAAGAGATAATTGTTTGTATCACGTATGTGGTGGAATGGGCCTGCTCCGGCTAGGGTTACAAAGTACCTACCGTGAATTGGCGGGGGATACATAGTTCTTGGTGGGAACATTACCGCGGGGAAAACACACACGCTGTACTATATTGTCGCCCAGATGTGACGTAGGCACATAGCCGGGCGACGTTCTAGCAATGGGGCAGAAAACTCGATGGTACCATCGAGTTTTCTGCCCCATTGCTAGAACGTCGCCCGGCTATGTGCCTACGTCACATCTGGGCGACAATATAGTACAGCGTGTGTGTTTTCCCCGCGGTAATGTTCCCACCAAGAACTATGTATCCCCCGCCAATTCACGGTAGGTACTTGGTAACCCTAGCTCTGGCCTGCAGTCTATTCCACCCTGCCCTCCAATGTTTTCCCAACATGTGGAGAGGCTTCTCTCTCGCGCGCTCTCTCCGTTAACCCACCACCACCACCTGACCTTTGTAGGAATTGCTTGCTGGGAGGGTCAAGACTCCCAGCTTCCCTTTCAGGTTCTGAGGCCTTGCCTCTGTGTTTCCCACTGCCCAGCGTCCGGTCACCATGGGATATTTTAGTGTGTTAAAAGGCATATAAAGCTGCTGCTGCTTCTTTGTACACCTTGGGGAAACTTGGAATGCTTCTCCCCGCTCTAATGCGTACATACCTAAGGGATCGCCTTTCCCCACATGTACCCCAGGGAGCACTACGATTGGGGTCCCAAAACCGTTTGGCTCTCTTGGGCCCCAGAGAAGCCAGACTGGCTGTGGCGAGGGCCGGGGCCTTCTCAGTGGTGCCTCCGTAGTGGTGGAATGAGCTCCCAGAGAACATCAGGGCCCTGTGGAACCTTTTACAGTTCTGCAGGGCCTGCAAGACGGAGCTCTTCCACCAGCCCTTCGATTAGGGAGCCGCACCCAAGAAACTGAGGCCTTGGCCCCGATATTAGCATCATCGTCAACAGCCCAATATAACCCAGACTATGATGTTAGCTGGATGTTGCCTGTGAATACTGTTAATGCCCGCTATCCTGATACAAACCATACTAGCACTTTGTATTATATTATGTTATGTTTATAACTGGATTGTAGCTGCTTTATATACTCCATGTAAGCCGCCCTGAGCCTCCTCTGGCAGGGAAGGTGGAATATAAATTTAAATAAATGAATAAATAAAATTAATATGAGAGAGAGTGGGTTTGTAGACTGGCCTCTGAGAAATGGGGCTGTGTCTGGGGCCAGTTACAGTCCGCCCCTTTCTCATAGAACCGCTCTTGGAACAACTCTGAAAGAACTTGTGACTGACCCAAGGTCACCCAGCAGGCATCATGTGGAGGAGTGAGGTATCAAACCCGATTCTCCAGATTAGAGTCCGCCACTCTTAACCACTACACCAAACTCTATCCAGAGAATCCAGCACAGGGGTCCCCAACGTTCTTCAGCCTGCAGGCACATTTGGAATTCTGACACAGCATGGTGGAGGCAGCGATAAAATGGCTGCTGTGGGAGGCGGAGTCTGCCACAGAATGATCACCACGGCTTAATTTCAGTAACACAATGTAGATCCTTGTGCTGTGGTGGCAGCTGCTGGCAATGCAACATTTAAAAAAATCTACAACTTGGGAAATTCCTGGAAATTTGGAGAGGTGGAATTTGGGGAGGTATGGGAGCTCAACCGGTGTGATCCCATACAGCCAACTCACCAAAGTGACCATTTTCTTCAGGGGAACCAAGTCCGGAGATCACTTGTCATTCCAGGAGATCTCCGGGCTCTACCTGGAGGTTGGTAACCTTAGGTGAGCCAGAAGGGTATTTTGGGAAAGGGGAGATCTGGGGCTGGGAGGGAGCAGAGAGAGGGTAAGTCAGGAAAGGAGAGCGTGGACTGGAAGTGCCTGGTGGAGCACTCTTAAGATGCACTGAAACAGGCTTTAATCTGGTTTGAACATGCAGAACGTGAGAGGGAAAGTAGACCATAGAATCATAGAGTTGGAAGGGACCTCCAGGGTCATCTGGGCTGGGGGTGTGGGGACAGAGGACGAAGCAAGCACCACGAGGGAGGGGCTTCGGAGCGGGAAAGAAAATTACAGTGCAGGAGCCGTTATCTATGAATTCTGGAATGCATTGTTGTGCGGTGCGTCTGAAGCAACCTTCCAGCACCACCAGCCACCAGGACTTTCCCAGCCACTCCAGCACTCTCCAGCATTCACTGCAGAGTGGTTCTATATAGCACCACACCAATACAGTCCAGTGGTAAACTATATACAGATTTCTTTACAATATATACACTCCACCGACAAAATGCTCCGCCAAACACCATATCCAAAGAGAAGAGAATACAGAGCAGGTAAAAGGTAAAGGTTCCCTTGCTCGAAAGCCAGTCGAATCCGACTCTAGGGTTGCGGTGCTCATCTCCGTTTCAAAGCCGAAGAGCCGGCGCTGTCCGAAGACGTTTCCGTGGTCATGTGGCCGGCATGACTAAACACCAAGGCGCACGGAACGCTGTTACCTTCCCACTGAAGTGGTCCCTATTTATCTACTTGCAATTTCTTGCTTTCGAACTGCTAGGTTGGCAG